TGGACCAGAAGTTGCATATATAAAAAAAAAGGAACCAATCACTTTACGTACTGAAACCATTTCATATCAAGTTGACTTTTTTTACCTATATCAAAATATCAAAACATCTACATTACCAGGCACAACGTTAACTGCCGACACTGAACAATCCACTCCACAAAACTTCCTGACTGGTATTCATTGTATTTCCTGTTTATATGGACTTATTTTGGTTCAAATTGATGTGAAGGAAGGATGTGTGTTAACGTAAACAATGCTCTCATCTTGATTGAAGGAAATGTGTCAGATTGGGACAATTTTAAATTTCATGTTTTCATAAATGTAACTTCAAATGATTAGTGATAATATTGACCTCAGATCAAAAATAATTTTGAACATTTGTGACCCAGTGAGAAATTCTAATCCAGTTGTAAGCGATTATCCATGTCACAGAATGTAAAACACAGAGGAGGCATTTGTGACTGCCATTATGATCCAGGGGAGATAACTAAGTGTGCTTTAATGTATGTCCGTGTCCCATACTTGTGGGGGATATAGGAACAGACTCCGTCCTTCCGTCGGTCCATCCGTTCACTTCTTAAAGGGGAAATGTTTTTCAAAAACTATTTAAATCAGAGAAATAAAACTTAACACACTGGTGTTACTGGTCATTATCTCAAATGAGTTCATAAATTAGTGTCATAAATTCACTTTTTAACAGAGTTATGGCCCTTTGCTCCATGCTTTTCAACTAAGTGCATACAGTGTGAAATGTGGAGATCTTTTCTCAGAAACTACTGAAGAAACATGAATGAAAGTTTGCATGCTTATTTAAAAGACTAAGTTCGAAAATTGGCCCCGTCAATTCTTTTTTTACAGAGTTACATCCGTTAGTCCATGTGCACAATGTCTGCAATAAGCTAACCTATTTATCGAGACATGAGTGATTTTTTCTCTCCAGTCTTACAAACTGTTTTGCAATCCAGTCAAGTATCATAAGAATAAACCTCTGAAGATCCGGTTAGAATTGGTTTTCAGCAACCCATGCTTGTCTTAAGAGGCAACGATGCTTGTGAAAAGAGGCGACAAACAGAATTGGGTGGTCAGGCTTGCTGACTTGTTTGATGCATGTTATCATATCCCAGTTGCGTGGATTGATGCTTATGATATCAAGCACTGGATTGTGTTTTCCGGACTCGATTATTTACAGACCGCCGTCTTAGAGCTTGAATACTGGCGAGAGCGGCGTTTAACAACAAACAACAAACAACTAATCATTAATATTATATGTAATTAGTCTTTTCAGCCTTTTCTTTACCCTGAATTAAATCTTGAGGTAATGAATTATCAATATTATCGCTGTGACTATTATTATATGGTCCTATAACCTATGCTGGAATGTGGCTGGGTGTCATTTTACCCTAGACCCGGGAAGACCCAGGGTAGAATAGGTCTTCAGCAACCCATGCTTGCCGTAAAATGTGACTGTGCTTGTTGTAAGAGGCGACTAACAGGACCGGGTGGTCAGGCTCGCTGACTTGGTTGATGCATGTCAAGCATCCCAATTGCATGGATCAATGCTCATGATGTCAAACACTGGATTGTCTGGTCCAGACTCGATTATTTACAGACCGCCACCATATGGCTGGAATATTGCTGAGTTTGGCGTTTAACAACAAACAATCATTTTACCCAAACTGTGTGGATTGATGCTCATGATATGAATCACTGGATTGTCTGGTTGTGTACCTCGATCATTTGGCTGGAATATTGTTAAACAATAAACCAACAAAAGCATGTAAATTTGACAATGGGTTGAGTAACCCGGGCATTTAACTGATGTCTTCTGACCTTGGTCCTGCTCTCTCTCTCTCTCTCTCTCTCTCTCTCTCTCTCTCTCTCTCTCTCTCTCTCTCCATCCTGCATATCCAGCTATATGGCATGTAACTGATGACTTCTGACCTTGGTCCATGTCATCAAACAAGTCAACGAGCCTCCCCAGCAGATCCATTGGTCGCATCTTTTGACCAGTATATAGGTTGCTAGGGACCTATTCTAACCTGAACCCCCATGGGTTTTTTTTAATCACTCCACGGACACCGACATCTTGCCTGTCTCTTTGTTCCTAGCAGTTTTGAAAGGCGCTTCTGATGGTATTGTCCTGCGTGAAACTGGCTGAGCAAATGTCAGCAAATGCTGTCTGCCATGTTGTTTCTGGTACTTTATATTTACATTCGTCACCACTCGCCCCTTTCCGTAACATGCGAGAAGACTCGTCCCCCTATCGATGAATGTTATGTGCGATAATACTACTAACCAATCAGAATGCGCGTATGATTTCAAGTTCTTCGTCAAAGAATCCCTCAGAAATAATTTTTGATTTTACATATGTCTTGCATCTAAAAATACACCCAAGACACAGTTAAATGTCTTCAATCAAACTGTATAAATCCGCATGTCCAGATGTGCTTTAAATTGCATCTGAAATACATATAATATATTGGGAAATATGTGTGAACCATTACACAACGAGTTGACAATTGTTTTAAGTATGCCCGTTTGCGCTAAGACGAAACCCGGTCGCAAAAATGGCCATGAGAGGGGCACGAGTCGCTATTCGGCTTGTCCCGGAATAACACAAGTTGGTCACGAATGTTATATTTGGTCTAAGTTTGTGTAAAGAGGCAAGTAACGGGATCGGGTGTTCATGCTTTCTGACTTGATTGATACATCAGTTATCATGTTATCAATCACTGGATTGTCTGGCCCAAATTTGATTATTTACACACCGCCGTCATATAGCTGGAATAGTGCAGAGCGAGGCGTTAAACAACAAACAAACAAACTCAGTCACACATTAAGGGTTTTTACTGCAGTCCTTGATAGGACCATTACCGATTAAAATTTGTCAAAAGTCTGATCAAGATCCTGTGATTCGTGGTGGGAAATTCACAAACAATCAGATATTGTTCAGGAAGGGTCCCGATTCAGCAAACACGACCGAATCTGTCCCGACAGCGTTCCGATTCTCCCGAATGCGATCCGACAGATATCAGACAGTGAACCGACAAAGATGGTTCGCATAGCGGTAAGATCTGGACGCAATCTGGACTCAATCGACAAGAAACAGCAACGAACAATTCATGCCCGTTCATCACGACAGCGTCCAGATCCGCAGGACACCGTCCAGACAACACAAGGCATTGTTACGACTTCGATCTGATAAAGCAGAATCTGTCACGACATAGTCACGTTTGTCGAGTTTCTCGATTGTTACGGGACGCACCATACTATCGGGAGTACTTGGCCGACCTCTCTGGACCTTTCCTGATCCGTAGGACTCTGTTACGAACGTACACGACTGCATTCAGACACTGATAGGACATTCCAGACCAATGAGGATAGTAATCCGACTTTTTCACTTTTCGTGTCGTAGCGCTGTCTGATCTCAAATGGGAACCATAATCGGCTCTATGTGAACCTGGCCTTAGCCGAGTCAAGCTTGAGTTATCCATAGACCAAAGTGCATGATTCTAATTATGAAGACTGCAGAATGTCTGAGATATCCTTCCATCCAAACATTGTAGACACCGTAGTTCCTTGATAACACCTGATTAGTTGTTCAAATTGATTCCTAGTCACTTCCTCACTGGCGGAGCAGTTGCCTGTCTGGGGGGTGGCCAGTCCCCGTGTAGTTACACATTGTAGGTCAGCAGGCAACAGCAACTATTCTCACAGGAATGATGGACGAGCCAGGTTTTTGTCATGGTGCAGTGTGCGAAATTAAGCATGAAAGGCAGAAAGTACTTTTCATGGCCACGAGGCCAAAGAAAAAACTGTTACGTTGGGATCTTTTTTGTTGCATGACATTAACAAACTTATTCTGGGGGAAAAATGTCCTTGTCTGCAGGTTAAATGCCAGCAATTTATAAAAGTTCAGTAGAGTGCTGTGTTTGAAAAAGCTGCCTCACAGACTACTAGCCAAATGACGGTGACTTTTAAGTTGGGATAGTAACATTTCCGCAAAGCTGGCTCATTTGTCTAGTCAATACTTGTTTATTCTATGAATCATTGTGTCAGTTAAGGCATGTCAAAGCCTGTTGTCATTTTGTTTTCATTTTGTAGTTTATTGGAATTATTTGGGGCTACTAAGAAATGGTGAGGTTTTGCAACATTGTTCATGAACAAGTCCTCCTGGCCATGGGTCTTTGGAAACAAATTCCTACACTGGTTTAAACTGCCCCAGACAACCAAAAAGGTCTTATAATCATCCCACAGACACAAGAGGCATTGTATGCCATGTGCAGTTAAAATGTTCATTATTGGGAAAGCAGGTTTGATTTACTTGCCCTAGGTTTACAATTCAGAAAATAAAAAAAGTATGATGCAGATGGATGAAAACGACGTGGGAGGGGACCAGAAACATAATACTTGTTCTTGTTTTGGCCTAATGTTAAAACTTGAAGATTATGGGGGGGGGGGGGGGGCGGGGGTCCATAGATCAAATACCTTAGCAAAACAACACAAGGACCCCAGGACCTCTTTAGTTTCTAACACTGTGATGTCTACACCTGTTCATTGAGTTCGGGTATGAAATGAGCTAGTGCTACGTCTTACTTGTTATGTGAAGTGTTTCTGCCCCAGGATACGACGGTTTTTAGAAGGTAGGGAGTTAGAATGGCTTTCTAGTTCTTACTAGGGGAACAGGCGCCCCAGTCGTCTAAGGCGCTGCAATTTGCTGTGCATAGTTGCTTCCATTTGGTACGCCAGAAACCTATGATCGAGGCTTTGAATTCCACTTCGCCCCAATTAGGTTTCTAGGTTTGTCAGCACCATACCCGTGTTCATGGGTTTCCAAAAAGGGGTAAATGCAGAAACATCATCACTTCGGGTTCCTCCCACAGTAGGCTGACACACCATGATGTACTAGAATACTGTTCAAAGCGGCGTCAATTGTGCAGATTTGATGGACACGTGGAACCCTGTATATATTATGATATATATATTCCTGTTTTTATCAGATTATGGGGAATGAAGACAAACATTGCTGCCCAAACTGTAACCAGGAACATGTGTTCTCCGTCACAATAAACTACCAGCATGACATCTATATTCTACAAGTGCCCCCGAATCATGCCCTCCGCATCAACACCATCCTACACATGTACGAGGAGCACGAGCCCCGCCCCGTTCAACCGGAACCTCCTCCAGGGTTGAAGGTCAGAGTGGAGTCCACCGAGATATCGTCCAGTAGTGAGAAGGTTGTTGTCCGACACAATATCTGGATCGAAGAGGTTCCACTCAATGCAACCACAGTCGATGTGCATCTGTATGTGAAGAAGAAGATCCCCAACAACATGAGATACCCGGATGCACTTGTAGTTCTTGAGGATGGACTGTTGACGGAGTCCCCTCGTATTGGACAGAAGGATGTGATCGAAGGTATGTGTGGTATAATGTCTTCAAATCCAGATATATATATGTGGTTACTCAGAAGTACTGTGTATTGGCAAATTAATTGTATTGCAATATTTAAGAAGTAAACGATCGTGGTCGTTGTTTATCATACAATAAACCGGTGCAGGTCGAATAAACCATGATGGCGCGGGGATTTTATTCTCCTTGCAGTGTTTAATTGTACGACCACAAGTCGTTTATGTCTTATATGAGATATCGAGATTTTGTACAGCCTCTTTAAGGATGTTGATAAAATGTACAAGCTTAAAGAATATTTACCCACATTTTAAAAATGATGACTCCCTGAATAGAATACGTCCTCAGAAATGTCGGAAAGTCCATTTTACGTTCTATAATGTTAAATATAACGTGTGACGTCATTTCTGGAGATTCGAACATACGCTCGCATCTTGATGACATCGTAATTGGGCGATGTTATTTTTTATAGCGAAGTGTCTAGTAAGTTGGTCCCCATAGATGTAGCTGGGCGCCACAGGTCAACTCCGTAGCCGAACAGAGATATGACCATTGGTAATGGTAGAAAAGACACAGTGACAATTGTGAGAATATCCATCTTCCCGAGGCAAGAGAGTTAACAGACTTTAAAAGTCCAGTTTCCACCCTTGCCGATTCAACAGGGCAGGAATTCCTGGGCTCGAACGTAGCGCCACCAGTGGTTATTACAAGTTACGTTCCTTCTAAGTCTCTCCTATGGACCAATCATATTTCACCTCTCACATCACATGCATTTGTTTCAAACCAAATGGCGGCGCCCAGTCAAGACGATCTGATCGATAATCAAGATGCATATTGTAATAAGACGGGTCTTACATCGCGAAGTGCATCAAATCATGTGAGCACCTTGTTTAACAACATGAAAAGATTTGAAAAAAATAATTTAATATCTGTTGACAACGAGTTGGCGGTGCACATGCTTTGCAAATCCTGCAATCGACTGAAACCTGCATGATAGTTTACGAACCGGATTTCGATTCCGTTGCGGGATTTTGATTGGACTATGCCAAGAATCCATTATACCAGCCTAGTTGGGCAAGGGTGGAAACTGGACTTTTATAGTCTGTTAACTCTCTTGTCTCCGTAAGATGGAGAATATCTGGCTGTACACAATTGTGATATCTCATACAAGAGATAAACGACTCATGGTCGTTTTAAAATCCTAAAATAGACAACAACCACAAGTTGTTTATTTCATAAACATAACTTCACAATGCAGATAAAGTGATATGTAGAATCATATTGAAACATTGGTCAGATATATTTTAAAAAAGGGGACACGGGTTGCCCAGTTGTCTAAGGCGCCGCGATTCGCTGTGCAGAGTTGCGTCCCTTGGGCACGCCAGAAACCTATGATTGTGGGTTCGAATCCCGGTTCTCCCCGATTATGTTTCTAGGTTTGTCAGCACCATACCCGCGCTCGTGGATTTCACCGAAATAGTAAATGTCTTAGACCTGCATCATTTCGGGCTGTCCTCCCACATTAAGCTGACACGCCGTGATATAACTTGAATATTGTTAAAAGCGGCGTTAAACCCAACTCACTCGCTCACACACTATTTTAAAAAACTGCAGTCACCTCTAGCCTCTTGTTAAATGTTTTTCAGAAAGCTTCCCTTTTGGAAATTCCCAAGGACAGAGGAGGGTGGACATCATTAGGAATACAAGGTCCAGCATTGACCACCGTCCAACACCACCACCCAGACGTCCAGCCAAGGCAGATCGGTCTCATCTGCTGAAAGAGCTGGATGCCTTGAGTGAGTTTGGGTTATAACAGGAGCATTTAAAGGGGGGTTGGCTGGAACCAATCAGCGGTCCCAGCCAGTCTGATTCAAGTCATTCACATTTGTCGACTTGCTCCATTTTGGAATGTATATCCATCTAGAAGTAAGTGAATACACTAATTACATAGAGGCAATGTCCTAGAGACTCAGCAGTGCTCCAGTTAGATGCCGTATCGACGTATTGTAGAGATGACAACTAGTCAAATACAGACCGATTGAAAATAGCAACTGTATCAAATATGTGGACCAACAATACTATACGCTGTAGTGTCTAAATAGACAAAGTAGGGTAACAATTGTTCTCCAAAACGTTCTTCAAAACATCGCTACACTCATGTTTACCGTATTTGGCATTACCTTCGACTTCAACAGGAAATAGCTATAGGTCCTTTTGTGTCAGCAGCAAATGGATTTCCTCCTAATCCTGCATTGTCATTGACTGATAATACCACTCTTGAATTCTCTCATCTTGGTTATGTTTTCATTACTTTGGCACCGAAATCTAATGCTTGCCGTAAAAAGCGACTATGTTTGTCATTAGAGGCGACTAACGGAATCGGGTGGTCAGACTCGCTGACTTGGTTGATGCATGTCATCGATCTCAATTGCATATATCAATGCTCATGATGTCAATCACTGGCTTGTCTGGTCCAGACTCGATTATTGACAGACCGCCATCATATAGCTGGAATATTGCTGAGAGCGGCGTTAAACAACAAACAAACAAACACACAAATCACGTACACGATGACTTGAAATGGACTCCAGCTAAGACAGTGCCTCCTACTTTCATGTTTTGTTAGTATGATCATGTTCGTTTAGCCTGATGTGCAAAATTTCTTTCAAATGTTTCTTCTCCAATTTTCCAGGCAAGATCGTGGACTGGGTGGATGCAGTGTCCAGAAAATACAAGTGTCCCACTTTAGCTGACCAGAACCAGAACCAGTGAGCAGAGGAAGCACCGATAGAGGAATGACCGTAGGTCATCAAACTAACCAAAGTCCATCACACCACCTGTTCATGGAAACCGCCAGGCACTCCCACACTCCCTGGAATCACTCTTACCTGTTCAAGGTATTACGCGGGGGAGTGGAAAGGTCTTGTCTATGATTAGTGGTCTCTTGATCAATGGAACTGTCAATGCATCACACTTTTCCACGGCTGGAGGACAATATATTGATAACAAGTTGAAATAAGAATAGTAACTTTAATGTCATACCATCCTTCTAAATTGATCAGACAGGCATACCGATGAACCACATGTCGGTAAGTCCTTCTGGGCAACCTAGGAAACGGTGGCCTTACTATTGCAATAGTTTGACACTAGTGTTAATGGCTATTAAAAAACTCTTGCAGTAGCAATAAATTTCAATAGTCAGCCCTGTGGTAAATACTAAAGGACCTGAGCCTGCTTTGATGCTTTGTTGATTTTGTTATATCAAATATATATATAAATAGGCAGGTTTTTTTGTAAATATGAGACATTTTGTATTTCTTCACATAAATTGACATTATACGTGTATAGCTTGAAGGGTGCGATGCGTGCTTTTTTCTCCACTGCACATAGTGCAAGCTGCCGTTAACGTACTCACTGCACAACCGATAAATTGTCTGCACAACATACTTTACAGGAAAATTATAACAAAAAGACATGATCTTTGAAAATGTTAGTTACTCATCATAGGACATGTTTGTTATATTTCACTTTAAGTGTCTGTGTTTTATGATAAGTTGGGGGCACGGGTGGCCAAGTCGTCTAAGGCGCCGCTACTCGCTGTGCATAGTTGCGTCCCTTGGGAACGCCAGAAACCTATGATCGTGGGTTCGTATCCCGGTTCACCTCACTTATGTTTCTAGGTTCTTGCTCGTGGGTTTCACTGAAGGGGTAAACATATGAGATCTGCATCACTTCGGGCTGTCCTCCCACATTAAGCTGACACGCCATGATATAACTGGAATACTGTTAAACGCGGCGTTAAACCCAACTCACGCACTCACTATACATTAAACTTCAGTATAACTGTAATACATGATCACAATCACCTCATAATATTAAAATTAAAAACACGTTTGGCATAATATACAGTACATCAACCCACTACACTTTCTTTTATATTTATATTCTGCCCCTCACTCTATGCTGTTCGAAAATTGCATCTTAACTTTTTTCTATGCTTAATTTCTGAGGATGTCTGTGATGGTGTCTCACTTCACGACAGCTTTTCAAGGTTTGATCTCGCAGTACATCTACATTGTGTGCTGGTATATCTGTATCAATAGCATCAGCTCCTTGTGTCTCATCTTCACTGGCTCTGTGACCGATTTCACATTATTGTATTGGGAAAAGGAAGACAGTTTCAAATGATTTCTATCTGACATCTTATAATGCTTTATAATTGTATAATCTTCTGTCTGATGTCTGTATGTATAATCAAAACTATCAAGAAATCACGTGGACACATATTGTCAGAGAGCCATTTTGTTCTGCAGCTCTTGGAAATACTGCAATGTTCAGCTTTCATGTTTAACCTCAAGCGTAAACCAAGTCAGTGTTTTGGTTGTCATTTTCTGTTTTTGTTACAGGAACTAATGTGTATATGAATGAATGACAAAGAGGTAGTTCATGACTCATTTGTATACAGCGAAGACTGTGTACATAAACAGCATGACATCATCCGAAATGAAAGGCACTTTATTTCAGTTTGTTTCTATGATGTAAACATGGCATGATTTGTTACATGTCGTTAGTCTGGGAAATAGTTTATGGACTGAAGCTTCACAAGTTGTTATTAACCTGTACCAATGTCAGTGGGAAGACACACACTGGATTGATATAAATACTTGCTTCATTACCTGCCTCTGAATCTGAATTGTTGGACCAGACAATCCAGTGATTGACACTGTGAGCATCGATCCACGCAAGTGGGATCGATGACAAGCATCAACCGAGTCAGCGAGCCTGACCACCCGATCCCGTTAGTCGCCACTTACGACAAGACCTTTTATTCCCCGGATCTTCACGGGCCAACTTTAATCTGTTTGGATCAAGGCTCATCATGTCAGTAATTTGATTTTCCAGTCCAGATCTATATTATAAACAGATTATATAAATCTTGCCATCTTTTTTAAATTAGATAAATTTGTGTGGGCTTACTTTCAAATAAAATGTACCTTGTAATTCCAGTCAAAATCATCTAAAATAGGACACTTTAGTCAAAAGATTAATTCTGTATTTGTTGAATTTATTTATTTGTATATTTAAATGCATGTTTATTGTTTTTGACTTAATGAAAACCCACCAGAAAATAACTATCCTGAGCAATGAAGCCCAGTTGTGTAAGGCAGCACAATTCGCTATGCAGAGTTGTGCCAGGATTCTTTGCTTGTGGACTCGGGAAGATCTGGGTTAGAATAGGCCTTCAGCAACCCATGTGTGTCGTAAGAGGTAACTATGCTTGTGGTAAGAGGTGACTAACGGGATCGGGAGGTCAGGCTCGATGACTTGGTTGTTTTTTGTCATCGAATCCCAATTGCGTAGATCAATGCTGATTATATCATGTCCAGACTCGATTATTTACAGACCTCTGCCATGTAGGTGGAATATTGCTTGTAGGTTTTAATCCCAGCCCAAACTAACTATAATCCTTGGTTTATATTTGTCAATATCTGGAATAGGCCAAGCCCCGTACTGATACACACATTCTGGAACTCAGGTCATCAATATGACCCCACGCATCCTCTGTTTGCTGTTGACATTCCCAATCTGTGGTTTGTATTTGTTACAGTGCTACTCTAAGAAATGTATCACTTAATGCACAGTTAATTATTGTGATTAAACATTTTGACGGTAAAGGTTTGTTATTTTTCTTGGTGACAAGTACGTTTGTCCTCATGTCCTGCAACACCTTTGAAATAGCAGTTACATCATCAAGTGGAGAGATCATCGACTGGGTCAGGATAAGTACGTTTGTCGTCATGTCCCTTTACCCCTTTAAAATAGCAGTTACATCATCAAGTGGAGAGATCATCGACTGGGTCAGGATAAGTACGTTTGTCGTCATGTCCCGTTACACCTTCAAAATAGCAGTTACATCATCAAGTGGAGAGATCATCGACTGGGTCAGGATAAGTACGTTTGTCGTCATGTCCCGTTACACCTTCAAAATAGCAGTTACATCATCAAGTGGAGAGATCATCGACTGGGTCAGGATAAGTACGTTTGTCGTCATGTCCCGTTACACCTTCAAAATAGCAGTTACATCATCAAGTGGAGAGATCATCGACTGGGTCAGGATAAGTACGTTTGTCGTCATGTCCCGTTACACCTTCAAAATAGCAGTTACATCATCAAGTGGAGAGATCATCGACTGGGTCAGGATAAGTACGTTTGTCGTCATGTCCCGTTACACCTTCAAAATAGCAGTTACATCATCAAGTGGAGAGATCATCGACTGGGTCAGGATAAGTACGTTTGTCGTCATGTCCCGTTACACCTTCAAAATAGCAGTTACATCATCAAGTGGAGAGATCATCGACTGGGTCAGGATAAGTACGTTTGTCGTCATGTCCCGTTACACCTTCAAAATAGCAGTTACATCATCAAGTGGAGAGATCATCGACTGGGTCAGGATAAGTACGTTTGTCGTCATGTCCCGTTACACCTTCAAAATAGCAGTTACATCATCAAGTGGAGAGATCATCGACTGGGTCAGGATAAGTACGTTTGTCGTCATGTCCCGTTACACCTTCAAAATAGCAGTTACATCATCAAGTGGAGAGATCATCGACTGGGTCAGGATAAGTACGTTTGTCGTCATGTCCCGTTACACCTTCAAAATAGCAGTTACATCATCAAGTGGAGAGATCATCGACTGGGTCAGGATAAGTACGTTTGTCGTCATGTCCCGTTACACCTTCAAAATAGCAGTTACATCATCAAGTGGAGAGATCATCGACTGGGTCAGGATAAGTACGTTTGTCGTCATGTCCTGCTACACCCTTGCAGTAGCATTTACATCATCAAGTGGAGAGATCATCTTCGGGGTCAGACTTAGCCACTTTGTTATACCTAGTTCATATATAGTGTCTGCAACTGACCTTTGTATACGAATGCATGCCCTCCCTGATCAGAGACCAGGCTCACGGAAAGGATTACACACTGAGTAACAATCCAAATCGTAATATTGTTGGTCAAGTCCAGAGCAAGCAATCCTTACTCCCGCATAAAAACACGAACCTGCATGCAATGGTAGAAACAAAAGGTGCATTGATCTTACCATTGTGGACAATAACATTGGCATGTAATTTTAGCACTGACTTACTTGAGGTTGGCCACCTGCATGCACCAAGCAAAACAAACATGCCTTTCTTATCAGTGCTGGAACTGTTTTGGCGTGCACAATTTCACTTCTGTATTTTGTTCCTGAAGTAATTTTCACTTTATAAAGTAAACTGGTATATATGGGAATAAAATGATAAAGGATTACTCAAAGTTTGGTAAGGATCACAACGTTAAAATGCAAAACCACCAATCGCGTGCATCTGTAAGTGTTAAGACAACAAAAGAAAATCTTCAGTGAAAAGTACGGGAGCTCAGCCCTGACATGATCCTCAGTCCAATAAAAACGCGCCTGCCTGTGAAGTCGGGCATATAAACAAAATAACCGAATTTACGGAGAAAAGTTTCAATTTCATCCCGACAGGCCACACAGACTAAAATGCATGATGTTGGAAAACAGGAACATGCACGTATAATGTTTTGTGGAAAATATTATACATTATCGCTTGACACATTATGCTTTTCACTTGGTGTATTTGATCCATATATTACTGATGAAATATGCAACCTGTGCATTATATATCATTATATACCCCTTTTGGCATGACGCGGCCGGGGAACGAACCCCAGACCTTCCGTTCACCAAATGGAAGCTCTGCCACTAGAAAACGGAAGCGGTCCTTGTGTGTGCGTTCGTGCGTGTGTCTGTGTGTGTGCGTGCGTGTGTGTGTGTTTGTGTGTGCGTATGGCTGCTAGTCCGGACTAAATCTGTTTCATCGTGCCAGCACACTGAAACACCATGCCCAAGATATCTTGGAGTTGAGTTTGAGTTTGACAAATAAAGCCGACGCCAGTATATGGCCAGGTTACCTGGACTTCCCGTATTTAAGCCCCGGGCCTAATGACGGAAATACCCCAGTTTAACCCCAGGGCTCAATTTCGGAAGCTGACGCTTTCTTACCCAAACAGGGGACAACCTCTGCTGAACAGATAAGAAACTGTTTAGTTGTTTTAGCCGGGAAAATATATAAAACTTTGAACCGTACTCAGACCCGTGAGCGTAAATACGCATGGACCTCAGTACAGGAAGTCCCTGGCGACCCGTGAAGATCCGGGTCTTCAGCAACCCATGCGTGCCATAAAAGGCGACTATGCTTGTCGTAAGAGGCGACTAACGGGATCGGGTGGTCAGGCTCGCTGACATGGTTGATGCATGTCATCGATCCCAATTGTGGGGATCGATACTCGTGATATTAATCATTGGATTTCGGTCCAGACTCGATTATTTACAGACCGCCGTCATACAGCTGGAATATTGCTGAGTGAAGCGTTAAACAACAAACCAACCAACCTGTAGAAGGTACACGACACTCCTTCTGGAAGTCAAAGTGGGGCACCTTGGTTAGTGTCTTTACCTTTCATTCCTTGGTTTAGGGATCCGACGATACAAAATTATCAGGAATTTGGAACAAATTAAATTCCAGTTAAAATCGTTTTACTGTCTGACCAAGACAATTGGTGCATGCTCTGTACTCCGTAACTGTTTGCTTAAATAACATTCTAAACTTCACCG